TTGTGACCTTTTGTGAGGCGTTGGTGAAAATGTCAGCTTTTTTTTTCATATGACTCACTAATTAATGCTTTTATAATCATAGTTTGACAATCTCCCGGTAGAAGTCAAGGTATTTCATATGTCAATAACTAGTTAAGAGGAAACTTCTTGCTAACTGGCATTAGCTACTTCATAACTTGAAATCTGGTGCAATGTCAGTTCTGGCCTCTTTTGGCTCGATCAGTTGGAGTCAGGTGATGATGTAAACTATAGAAATCTGTTGCCAATGTGCAAATTTTTCATTGCCTGAACTAAATTTGAGCCTTACCGAAGCCAGGTTAACATTGGACATATGTACTGCCCAACCAAAAGTATATTTTATCTGTTGTAATAAAGGGAATAAAACTACATACAAAGACCGGCCAAGCTAAGCTACACATTTCCCTATATGCTAAATGTACGTATCACAGTGTCTTAAACTTTAGTAAGCTAGGCTGGTTGCTTTTTTTTGATGAAATCAAACTAAATAAGTGTACAATGATTTTTAAGAGCCTTAAATGCGATGTTCCGATTTATATCAAAGACTTGCTCAAGACGAACAGTTCTGTACACAATAAATCTACCAGAAATGGCAATTTAAATTTAGTGTGTCCCAAATACCTAAGAAATAACAATGGTGGCAAGGCATTCAGTGTTGACGCAGTTAAGTTATGGAACAGCCTTCCCATGATATCAGGAAAAGCCTGGTATAAAACTATTCAAAATAGTTGTGAAAAAGCATTATATAAGCTCATAAAAAACCTGGACAACTTTGAAACACTATTAAGCAATAGCACATTATCTAATTGTAATTTTTTATAAATTAATTTTATCTTTCTGAATATGTTTAATATCCCCTGCTATTTCTATCACAGAATTTTGTAATTATTTATATATTTATCCATTTATCAGTTTTTTTGTAATACTTTATAATCTAGTTAGAGGGCCACAGGTTTGTCAGCTTTTCAGCTGTTACGTGTCCCCCTCTCTAAATAAAGTCCTCACTTACTTACTTACTTACTTAAAGAAATTTAATGCATCTACAGGTGCTGGTGTGCATAAAATACTGAATAAACAAAAGCAATATTTCAATATGTTGTAAACGAGTGCTTTAGTTTCAGAATGTGATATTTTTTGTAGAATATGGAAGAGCAATAAGCAAATATAAGAGAGTTTAAAACGTTTAGTCGAAATCGCATTGTTTCACCTCCACGTCAGGATTGGCAGCAAGAAAATTAATTAATAAGTTCATTCATATGATATCAAGACAAACTCAAATTTATTCAGCATTCCTTAAAACAAATTTAAATGGTGACTAAAAGTTTTACACATTTGCCTAAATGGTTTGTTTAATTGTATGACAATGCAGAAAAAGGTTTGCCCTGTTTAACCACCATTATTTGTAACATACTGTTTAAAAATCCGTCCTAACTTTTACATAATAACAAAATCAACATAAACATGCATATTGAAAAACTCATAAAGTACGCATAAATAATAAGATGTAAGTGCCGAAGGTGCAAAGCAACTTTTCTTTTTAAGGGAGTTATATAACATAAATGTAATAGGTAAAAAAAGTGATTTCCACCAAAGCATTTCAACGTGCTAGCATTTGAACATTTTGCTTTAAATATAACTACAATTTGACATTCTATAGTTAGAGGTCTGGGGTTTCATGATAATTCAAAACTACGGTCGTTTATTCAGTATTGTACACACATTAGCGTGTTGAATTTCGATTAACTTGCTTTTCGACAGCCTGAATATTAGCAATTATTGTACGCTACATATGAAATTTCCCGACAGGGGAAACATTGATCTAGTCTAGATTACTGCAGACGAAGAGTTTTGTTTATTCAGACGCTACAAATGATCTTTATTATTCGAAGTAAGGATATCCTGCTGATTCAAGTTTTGAAAATGTAAATTTTAGAGGTGTGACAGAAATTTCATCAAACAGGGGATGTTATAAAGGATCTTTCGCATTGTATCAGTTTTATTTAGGCTGTGCATCTTGTTGCCAGTTGATGATTAGTAGAAGTGTTGGATAAAGCATACAAGATGAAGTCAAGTCTCACTCTTTTGTCAGCCGTTCTGCTCTTATTAGTATGTGTAAGTTACAGCAAATGTCCTAAAAGCTAACGGCCTGAGCCACCCAAATAAAGCTTTGAATAAATAAAATAGTTCCATAAACACAGAATACTTTACTTATTCTTTTTTTGAATATCATGTTAATATTGCAGACAGTAGTTAGCCATCTTGCCTAATAGCTACTGGTCACTGCGGAATAACTCTGATTGTCGTAATGCAGAGATTTTTTGTTAAGGTCCGTTCATATAAAAATGGAGGGATGTACTTCCAACTACTTAGAGGAGGTTTAGTTTTGCGATATACTTTTTGACTTAAGTATTTAAAAATGTGTCGAACAACAGATCGCATATATTATCATTAAGTATTATCCCGGATTAATAAAACTTATGTAGATATGAAGCACTTATTGTCACAAATATTCTAAATTCTATGTCGTTTTACAGTTTAGGTCATTGCAACAAAGGCTAAGAAAGGTAAAGTGAGATAGTAATAAGAGAACTTTTTATAAGAATGGATTTACATTATTAACCGAAATTTCAGTGTTTGCATTGAAATGATTCAAAATGAGTTTTTGTTGCTCTTTTAATTAAGATTCTTATTAAGTTGTTTGGTGTCGCTCAGACAGTTACGTTTCTCAAAGATCATTGTTCTATACTTTTGTATTTGCTGAGTTTGCTATTTGTGATAATGTAAAATGACTTTTTAACTCATATATAACGTTTTTGAAACAATATGATGCACACAGTTATCATTGGACAGAGGCATAAGTGGAACGTTAATTGGGGGAGGATGGTGCATATTCATATATTCCGTTGTACCCTTCTGATTTCTTTTGAAAGTGAATTGAATTGATTTCTTTTGAAAGTGTATTGTGAGTATTTTAATCCAGTGCCATAAATATTTTCATGAATTGTTGATAAATGACTTTTTGTTGATTGATTGATTGATATTTTTTCTGATAATATATTATATGTATATCATGCGTTAATACTTGTCAGATTAACTAAAATAAATTCTATGATCGTCTCTCGTATTAACTTTTACGAATGCGACCGAGGATTAATATTTGGGGCATGCACGACATAATCGCAATGAGACAAAATAAAAAAGTTCGTATTAAAATCTATATATTACTCATTCTTATCTTTATCTAATCTTAATCAGGAAATGCAGCGAAGGTCTGTGTTAACGCCAAATGGTGGAAGTCATTTGACAAAATAGGATGGTCAAAATGTACCACCAGTAAACAGTTCATCACTGGATTTTATCGTAGCAAGTTACTTACTTTCCCACTTGAAGGAATTTACAAACTTGAAGAAGCAAAGTGCTGTTTGTCTAGTCCTGGATACAGAGGTCAAAAGAGCATTTGTGTCAACGCTAACTGGTGGAAAACATTAGACAAGTTAGTATGATTTAGATTTAATTAACTTTGAGTACTTATTCCTAAATATTGGAAATGTATATAAGCGTGATATACTACACAATCTTTTTTTAATCTTAACAACCGCCGACTGCTTTTTTTGTTTTAAAATTCCAGTGAAAAAATGTGCTATATATTATTATAATACTATTATTTTATATTGTGTCATTCAGTTGATACCAGCCAATGACGTCAGTGATGTATTCCGCATAATTTAGCATAAGGCTTTTTTTCCAAAATGGCGGATATGGATTCAACTTTGTGTCAAATTTTCTCGACAGCAAAATTCAAAAGAGACACGAAAATACGAAATTAAGTATTCCATAGCTATCTATGATAAACGTATGAAAAAAAAATTCATTGCCATTGTCCTTTAATCATAAAAGACAGTAACCTTTGCAGTTAGTTTTAACTAAACATTAAAAATTTTTTTAGAAAAAGCACTTGGAGTGTTTGCCCTCAAGGATATTTTCTAAATGGTCTTTATCGCTCACAGGGAATTCATTTAAACAATATTGAGGAAGGAAAATATTGCAAACCAATACGCCATCCCAAAAGGTATGGTGGTTGCTACAATGAGTATATCAGACATTCGTTTGACAGGAAAGGATGGACAACGTGTAAAAAGGCAAGGTACTACGTAACTGGGTTGTACAGAGATCATAAAAGTGACTGGCTTCAAAACATTAACTACTTCAAATGCTGCAAAATGGCTCCAGGTAAAATATTAAATTTATTGGTTTGAAAATTTCAATACATGAACACATTAAAGAGAGCTATTCCAAAATAGAGAACAACATTGACTTCTCAAGAATTGAGTACCATATAGAAACAGATAGAATATGTTCAAAAACATTTGCAAGTTTTATGATGTATTTTTTTTTATTTAGTTTTCAACCCATGTGCTAAGAAACCTTGCAAGAATGGTGGTCTTTGCTTAAAAAAAGTCAAATCTTACCAGTGTTTATGTAAACCTGGCTACCAAGGAAAAAATTGTAGAAGTAAGTATGATTTGTAAATGATATTTCCTTGTACCTTGTTTTTAATCATTTGTGCATTGAAACTATAACAAAATTATTGATTAGAAACTATAACTTACACACTTAATTTTTTGAACTATTTCTGCTCTAGCTACCGTAAATTAAGTTTGAATTTTGTAATGCGTTTAGATTTTCCTTTCATGTCGCACTACCTCATAACTCACAAGAGACAAGCAGGAAGTGTTTTATAAATGAAAGCTTAAATTAATTCTTAAGAACATTTGCACGTGGGATTAGTCTCGATTAAAGGGGACCTAAGGCTAGTTGCCCGAAAATTTTACCCCAAAACACAACTTTTTTCCCAGGCCTTATGCTTAAAGTTATTGTTGCATAAAATAAGAAACAACCTTATAAAATAATTACTAAACTATATGGATAACAATTGAAAGCTTTTCAAATTCAATTAACTCAAACCATATTTTTAATTTTAGTCTACAATGCTTGTCACTCAAAATCTTGTATTAACGGTGGTGTATGCAAAAGGAATGGAAAGATGTACAGCTGCAAGTGTAAATCTGGTTACTTTGGAAAGAATTGTCAATGTAAGCATGAGTTAGTGTATTCAATTGCAGTGACTTTAATGATAGAACCATTTTTTAATGACATTTTATAACAACTCTACAGTTCTTACAAATACTAATTATAGATAATGAGATCTTACATATTGGGTTCCTTTATTTGAAAATGTCGAGCAAAACCATTTGGGCAATTAATTATGTTTTTTAAAATACAATTAATAAACTATCACTTGTTTTACTTTTAGTCTATAATGCTTGTCACTCAAAACCTTGTATTAACGGTGGTGTATGCAAAAGGAATGGAAAGTTGTACAGCTGCAAATGTAAACCTGGTTACTTTGGAAAGAACTGTCAATGTAAGCATGAGTTAGTGTATTCAATTGCAGTGACTTTAATGATAGAACATTTTTTTAATGACATTTTATAACAACCTACGGTTCTTACGAGTACTAATTATAGATAATGAGATCTTACATATTGGTTCCTTTATTTGAAAATGTTGAGCAAAGCCATTTGGGCAATCAATTATGTTTTTTAAAATACAATTAATAAACTATCACTTGTTTTACTTTTAGTCTATAATGCTTGTCACTGAAAACCTTGTATTAACGGTGGTGTATGCAAAAGGAATGGAAAGATGTACAGCTGCAAGTGTAAATCTGGTTACTTTGGAAAGAATTGTCAATGTAAGCATGAGTTAGTGTATTCAATTGCAGTGACTTTAATGATAGAACAATTTTTTAATGACATTTTATAACAACTCTACAGTTCTTGCGAATACTAATTATAGATAATGAGATCTTACATATTGGGTTCCTTTATTTGAAAATGTTGAGCAAAACCATTTGGGCAATCAATTATGTTTTTAAAATACAAATAATAAACTATCACTTGTTTTACTTTTAGTCTATAATGCTTGTCACTCAAAACCTTGTATTAACGGTGGTGTATGCAAAAGGAATGGAAAGTTGTACAGCTGAAAATGTAAACCTGGTTACTTTGGAAAGAACTGTCAATGTAAGCATGAGTTAGTGTATTCAATTGCAGTGACTTTAATGATAGAACATTTTTTTAATGACATTTTATAACAACTCTACGGCTCTTACGAATACTAATTATAGATATTGAGATCTTACATATTGGGTTCCTTTATTTGAAAATGTTGAGCAAAACCATTTGGGCAATTAATTATGTTTTTCAAAATACAATTAATAAACTATCACTTGTTTTACTTTTAGTCTATAATGCTTGTCACTCAAAACCTTGTATTAACGGTGGTGTATGCAAAAGGAATGGAAAGTTGTACAGCTGCAGTGTTTATAAAACAGTGTTTCAATAACACTTTGCAACAACTCTACGGAGTTCCTACGCACACTAATTATAAATAATGATATCTTACAAATTGGATTCGTTCATTTGAAAATATTGATCGAAACTGTATGGGCAATCATTAATGTTTTTGATGATACATTTAATTAACTATCATTTGTTTTGCTTTTAGTCTACAATGCTTGTCACTTAAAACCTTGTACCAACGGTGGTAAATGTCAAAGGAAAGGAATGGTGTACAATTGCAAATGTAAATTTGGTTTCTTTGGAAACAACTGTCAATGTAAGCTCCAATATTTCTTAAACTCTAGAAATTGGGTATACTTACAAACATAGAACAAATTAAAACAAAAATTTTTGAGTAGATTTTTTAGTTTCTAGCTTTATGACATGCGCAACAACGTAAGAAAAAAGTTAGCATCCCAAATTTTAGTAAAACTATAATAATATGCAATTGATAAATAGCGCTGTGGTACAGGGAAGTGATAAATGAGCAAACTAAATTTCTTAAAGTAGTGTTTAGAAGTTTCAGCTGAACTTCTCATTTGCTGCTATCAACGTTTGCCCATTAAATTTCATATAAGAGCACGTTGCTTGTGCGTTACCAAGAATTAGTTAAATAGCTCTTTCTAAAACTCTTTTGTACTTTAGTAAGGTAGATGTGAATGAATTTTTTGAATATCTAGAAATGTAATGTAAATGCATAATTTTGTGAACTCTTGCCATTTTTATTGGAATAATCTAGATGTGAAAAAATAGAAGCCCAGAAAAGATGAGCATATAATAAGTCTCCTAAAATTGATTAAACTTGCAACAGCTCATTCTTGTGTTTACACAGCAAAATTTCACCATGGCAGTGAATGATGTGACTGGATTATGTCAAATTAATATTGTTACTGTTACCATTACATCTATAGATACGTTTATACCGAGACGTTGCGTTAATGACAACTGGTGGAAATCATTTGACAAAAAAGGATGGTCTAAATGTGACAATACAAGACAATTTATTACTGGATTTTACCGAAACAAGTTAAAAAAATTCAATAATGATGGAATTTATAAGCTTGAAGAAGCGAAATGCTGCACTTCCAGTTCAATATACGCAGGGCAACGAAGTACATGCAAAAATGCTAACTGGTGGAAATCACTTGACAAGTAAGTAATCTCTCTTCGGTTTACTTATGAAATGGTAAAAAAGTCACAAGTTCTTACAATTGGCATTACTAATTTAGGACGCTGCAATGCAGTCATATGTTCCTTAATATTTAAAGAAAAGGTAATAGGATAACATGAAAAGCATCTCATGTGAAAGGTTTTTTAACCAAAAATTAACTTAGTTTTGCCATGAATAAAACAATGTTTATTATTAACTTATCTTGTGGTTCTTAATATTTTTTTCCATATTATACACATTATGAATAACAAGAACAAATTATTTTTCAGGGCCAGTACCTGGAGTGGTTGTCCAAAAGGATATTTCCTAAATGGTCTCTATCGCACCAAAGGCCAAAGATTACACAATATAGAGGAAGGAAAATGTTGCAAGCCTGTCAATCATCCAAACAAGTATGCTCACTGTTACAATGAATACATCAGATATGAGTTTGACATGAAAGGATGGACCACATGTAAAAAATCTGGATATTACGTCACTGGGTTGTACAAAGATCATAATGGTGACTGGCTTCACAACATAGACTACTTCAGATGCTGTAAAATGTGGACTGGTAAGTATCTGGAATGTTGAAATATAAATTATGTTTTTTTATGTGATTTTGCTTCAGTTTAACAACTATCCTTTAAGTAGAGGATATACAAAATAAGGAAAACTATCCAATAAAGAATAAGACCATTTCTATGTGCGATATCAACCAATGAGCTCATGATTTTACTTTTTTAGGATAGAGATGGCAAACCAGGAGTCCTTTACATGACTTTTAAAGAAGATGGAAAGATTAAATTGATTCTTCAAACTAATTTTTAAATGTAATTGTTTTGTTTTTACATTTAATAAAAATCTGCATTAAAAATTATTACTTTGCGGTTTTGTCTAAAATAGAGAAATAAAATAAACCCTGTTTGAGGAAGAAAAGTAAGCACAATTCTTACTGACATCAAATTTTTTCATCAAAGGATAATGACTCTTGTGTGGTGTAATGATACAGATTTGGCTGAAAATATTTGCCTTCGGCATACTAGTAAGAAATTGTCTTTAAGTTAAAGTTTCTTATTTTATGGCTACAAAAAAATTTCTCTTGCATATACTATTCGATGAAATGCTATAAGACAAGAAAGAACCAAGAAGAAAGGCAGCAGTTTGAATGCAAACAGGAGAATGTGCTTAAAAGTGAAACATGTTTACATTGTAGCTTTTGATGTAGAATGTTAATTTTTATTTAAAATTAACCACTGATTATTTCGGACTTGATGTGCATTATACAAACACGTCTTTATTCTTTGCTGTAAGTGTACTATTCGGTTTGTTTCATTGATAACAGTGTGCTTGCACGTGACGTCACAGTTTAGCCATTCGCCATTTAGGAGGAGGAGTGGGGTATAGAACTAACATAACACACTGTAATATTACCTGGGTTAAACTTTTTCACTGTTTTTTTTTAATAATTGTTCGTGGTGAGGATTGCAAACCTTGTGTTGACCATTGAGCACTAGCATGTTTTGTGAGAAAAGTATTGCTAAGTTTTCCTACTTATGTATCGCATAATTTCCCAGTGGTAAAACTTGGACACTTTGTATGTATTTTTCACAACGTACTTGCCCATATCAGCAAAGTTAATACTCTTTAAAGCATCATGGACATAAAATAACTTAAGATATTAAAACATTCAAACTTGGACACTATAATACTACGCTTTTTATAAATTTGGTCTGTGAAAAGAAAGGGTAATGCTTAAAATAATATTTTGTGTCATTACATCTATGGAAACTGGAAGCTTGCACGCAAATCATAGCTACCAAATATTTCTTGCACAAGATCTAATTTAAAGTAGTAGTATTTTTGGTGTTGTAATATTCAAAATTTCCATTAAAATATATCATTGTATTTTAATCTTGATTTAAATTACTTTACTGGTAACAAGTAACAATCAAATATTATCTTGGTCAATGTTGTCCTAATTTTTTCTATCAGATTAATCTTTTCTCCCATGTCTACAGTTACGTGAAATAACTCCATTGCATATTGCAAGTACAAAATAATAGAAAATAATAGTCAGAAATTAACAACTAATGGATACTACTTTCATAAAAAAAAACTGTGTAAAAAGGTGGGAACAGCTCATTCAAAGCACTTTGCTATAAAAACACATTAGTGACCCTAGTCCAACTAAAATCAGCTTCCCATCCCTACAAATCCTAACTACACAAGATGCTGTTGCCCAATGGTTTTGCGAGTTTCTCAGTCTTTACTATCATCATATTAATCTTGCAAAAGGCCATTTAACAAAAACATTATATATCTGTATAGAAGCAAAGCATTAAAATATCACTCTGTTTATTACTGGATATTTAATAGATGTTATTAGTTTGTAAAAAGTGGATGCATGACATCCACATTGAACAAAGGCACCAATCTGTTTATGTATAACATGCCAAAAATGGCAAATTCATATTATAATGTTTTTATCATTATTAAAAACTAAAGTTCATTCCATGTTGGCGATAGGTACTCCAAGAGTATGACCAAGTTCATTTAATGATAAAACTTGTTGAAGAATGGCGTTCTTCTGTCTTATCGTCACAGGAATTGCCTACATTAGCATCCTAACTGTAGCTATGGCTCTTTTTTGTCTACATCTACAGAAGTTTTATGTCAGCATGAGCCATATATTGTTTAGCAAAAGTTTCTTAACCCAAAAAAACCATAGATCTTCTTTGTCGAACCTCACTCGCAATACAATTTGCCACTGGCACATTAAAGCCAGGCTCGCAATATTTTACAAAAGGAAAGGTTCTTTTTCCAGGCCTTATCGTTTTAACGGTTTAAATCCAACGGTTGTTTGTAGTCTTTATGTCCTTTTCCTTTAGTTGTGAGTATATGATGGGTATGTCGATATGTCTGTTTATTGTGTCCTTGTCTTTACTGTACCAAGCTTCTTTAAATTCGCGTGCGTGTTTAGTCTGTGCGCGTCCGAGTACTTTAGTTTCTGTCCAGTCGAATGTGTGGTTGTTTCCGTGGGTATGTTCTGCCAGTAGTGAGTTCGGATCTCGTCGTTTTATGGCGTTTTTGTGTTCTGTGAGTCTTGTTTCAATTCTCTTAGATGTTTGTCCTATGTATTGCTTCGAACAGTCTTTACATGGTATCATGTAGATCGCGTCAGTTGTATCATGAATTGTTGTTTTGTCTTTATGTTTGGTGAAACATGATTTGAGTTTTTGTGTAGGTTTGTGGGCGACGTTAATATTAAATGGTCGAAGAAGTCTGGCAGTCATTTCTGATGTTCCGTTTATGTATGGTAATGTGACGATTTTTACTGTTTCGTCCGGTTTTTTTGTTGCTTTTGTCGGTTTGTGTTTTGTTTTGTACTTTGTATATAGTTTTGTTTATGAAGTTTCTAGGGTAGTTGTTTTTAGTAAATGTGGAGTATAAGTAGTTGCGTTCTGTTTTTTTGGCTTCTTCCGTATTACAATGAGTGTTTATCCTGTTGAAAAGTGTTCGAATGTAGCTTATTTTGTGTTGTGTTGGATGATTGCTGTTGAAATCGGGTATTTGGTCTATGTGGGTGGTATTGCAGTATACTTGTGTGTTTAGTGTATCGTCATCTGTTCTGGTTAGTAGGATGTCGAGGAAGGTAAGTTGTTTGTCGTGTTCTTCGTCTTTAGTAAAGGTAATGTTCTTTGTGGTATTGTTTATGGTGTGTAGGATTTGTTCAGTTTTGTCTTTCTTGACTATGGCAAAGATGTCGTCGACATATCTTTTCCATAGTCTGATGTTTGTGTTGTTTGTGACTGATTGTGTTTCGAGGTGTTGCATGACAGCTTCTGCGAGGAAGGTTAAAACACTACACTCTAATTATATTAACACCTTAATATGGTTGGTGTTAATATAATTAGAGTGTAGTGTTTTAACAACACACCAAAACCCATGGCAACGCATTTCACCCCATCCAATCACATTAATCCACCCACTAATCCAATTAGACGCTCTAAACGTCTCCAAGCTAAAAACACGTGTAAATAAATATCCTCATTCTGATGAAGGCTCGAAGCAACGAGTCAAAAGCTCAATAAAAATCATTTAAAAATGCGGAGAAACGTTTATCTTCTATATATTCAATGCCTGGATTACAAATTTTCAAACTTATATATATATATATATTAATAGAAGCAAAAGGAATCTGTTGGTTTTCAAATATTATATAACAACCCGGAATCTATAGACAGTTGACAAGATGGTGCTGAGGTATCTTGGGTAGAGAAGTAAGAGTCGTCTTGCCATCATGTTACTCGCATTAGAGAAACATTTCCTCCACTTGGTGGAGCAGAGGAATTTCAATTTGAAAGCTTCCACCATGCTGTTTTTGCTATGTTAATATTTAAGAATGAATGTACAAAAGTTGTCTTCACTGATGCAACATCATATTATATCAGCATGGCAAAAACTATTGCCATAGCTAACTTCACCACTGACTGATGTTCCTTTACAAGTATTTCTTTCCTGGGTGGACATGATTTAGAAATGTTCTTTGAAAGATTATCGCCATGATGTACAAGTTCAATCTCCTCAGTTTTGCATGCATTGACAACCTCGTCAAGTAGTATATCAACGTACTGGTATTCTTTCTTTTCTTTCATTGCTTTTACAACCCATTGCTTCTTTGTTTTAAAAATCATCTTGTAACGGTCTTGCCCTTTGTTTGTCCCTGACGTAATGACTGCTTTATCATGGTTAATATTGTTGTTGTGATCAAATGCTGCTAACTGAGTGCGGGCTACCATTCCAGGAAATGAAAAATTCTCTCGCTTTGGGCAGTATTTCAGTAAAAGGGAAAGGTAAACCTCCAACTCTCCTGTGTGACAAAACTCAGATAACTTCCACAGGTCTTTTAGAAGCCTCTTGTCACAAATCACCTTCTCTGCAGCAGGATTTGCTTGTGAAGTAGGAGATAGCCACTTCTTCTGCTTGTTTGTCTTTCTGTTAGTTGTTGGTAGCAACATTGATTAAAATATGTGTTCCCTCTCCAGAAATTCTTGTTGTTGGTTAAGGATAGACTTCCACTTTTCCACTAATACTTCTGCATTCTTGTTACAACTTGCAGAGCACCACCAAAGATGATTAGAAATGGACTTAATCCAATGGGTCAAGTCATCATTTCCCTTAATGTTAGCCTTTGTTAGTTTTTTTTTGTGACAGATTTGGACAAATGCCACACATCATATTGATGATCAATATGAGGGTGTTTGTTTTTCATAGCACTGGCAATTTTTGTCCCAAATGTGACTTAAAAAAGGGAAATTATGTTCAAATAATAAGGAAACTATAAGTTCATACTTTACGTCAAGGAAACTACACCTAAATTCTATACACGAAAGGCTAATTTTACAATGGTCTTATGTAGGATTATTTTCCAACCATAATGAATCTAAATTACACAACCATGTTTTATTATTATTCAATGTTATTCATGGCAATAGACTTTTTTAAAACAGTAGAAACTGTTTTTAAGGTTGAATTCGGAGGACAAGCAAACGAAGCAAACGGCCTTACAGCACAGTTTCCACACAAATCAACCTTCGTATTTATTAAAAAATAATATTAATCAATATTTAAATTCTATATGTAGTGCGGAAAACGTGCGATAATTGCCTTTATGGATGTGAAACCGTTCGATTAAAACAGAATACAAATAACCAGCTCAATACTTGCATGTAAGCTATAAAAGTTGCTTGTGTATATACCTATGAATAAAAAATTGTGAAGTTTCAAAAGAAACATTTTGTGATTAGGAGAAGCATTTTGACGCAAGTTGGTTATGACTGTGCAACGACTTTACATAGAGCTTTGAGCATCAATTGACGATATGACGTCAAATACAAGCCACTGACATGTTTCTGCTCCCACGCACCGGATGCCCTAGCTGCAGCATTTCAACTCATTTTTTGTGAAAATATTGAATGAAACAAACAAAAAAATTGCCGCATATTTATTTTCACGAGACTGACAAAGTTTTAAGACCAACATTAATTGAGGGTGGAGTTCCCCTTTAATATTCAAAGTGAAACTTTTCAAGTGAATATATATTAGGCATAATTAAGTTCAGAGAATTTATTCATGCGTGAATTCTAGTTCTATTTTGTATACATGCATTAAATTATCAATTACAGAAAAAAAGAAGAAAATAAATGAAAGTTCTCACTTCTTAAGTAAAAAATTACGAGGTCGTATTTTCATGGAAGTGGATTTTAAGGAGTAGTAAAAGCCTTTCCACGTATGCCAATTGATACCATCAGCATATGAGGAGTGTTGACCATGATGATAGATCCCATTTAAATTAGACATATGACACCCTTTATACCACCATGCGCCTTTATGCAGGATTGCACAATTGCGATGGTATTTATCGTTGTCAGAGTCTTTTGTCGAAAATTCCATTCCTTGGTGGTAGTTCAACGAATCACCGGCAGTTCCTAAAAATGTGCACAGAATAATTCATGTCATCATAAAGATAAAGTTGAGTCTAAAATGTATATTTCTTATGCAAAACTTTGAGTTGTAAAGCATTTTGCAATGTCTGATACCAATAGACAATTATCTGATAGCATTATTTACTAGTTACTATGGGAGTGAGTTTTTTAAAAAGATTAACGTTTGACAATATTGCTTTCGTTTGAAGTGGTATGGAGGTAAATTTCAGCCTTTTCTTTTAATCCAAAAGTTTCTGATCAACTAAGAAATGAGTGAAATTTTTCGTAGTATTACAGGCAAAATAGCTTGAAGTGTTGAATGATAAACTGAAAACAACAAAAAAGTTTAAAGTCTGGAGAAAAGATATAATTTAGGGGGCCTCGGTCATGTTTAAAATTCACAAAACTTTTTTTTCCTTAATTTCATTCCACTACTGGATACCTATCAGCATTTTGTACCTGAATATGTTCCAAAGTCCAACTTGTATTTCTGCCTTTCACTTGCAACAGAAAAGAAATCATATTCGGCGTATGTTGTGTTTCCTGTAAACTCTTCCATGTCAATCCGAAGTTTCTTGTGTTTTCTAGATGTAAGTCTATTTATTTTATCTAATCCAAGCCAAAACTCTGATGTTAGATTTCCAAAGCCATTTTTGTATTCTTGCCATCCTCTGTAGAAATTAACACTACCATCAAGACGACGTTGAAACACGGTCCAGCCACCTCCAGATGTGTTCATGTCACACCATACATTAAAACTGCCTCGATTGTCCGGATTAATCTTGTAGATTCCGCTGACTCTTTTACCTTTCTTGTAAAGCGCTGAGCAATCTTTTGCTAGGAAAAAAACATATTAACTATTTAAAAAAATCTTTTTTGCACGTTAAATGCATTCAAAACATGAAAAAAAACAATTTTTCGTTGGTCACATGATTGCGAATTTCATTCAACTGCCTAGCAGTTTAAAGTTGTTCATAAAATTAATATCGAAGCTAAGGGAAAACGAGAATTGGTTTGGATTAAAAATTGACCATTGTATTTTAAAGAACATTTAGAGTAACCTTTTCAGAGGATTTTTGTTCGTTGAAGCTTGCAAGATGTTTTATGACGTTTGAGGCTTTTGAATAGAATAACTCTAAATTTTTGAAATTTTATGAGTGCTCGTAAAGTCTTACGTTATGTAAGGTTAGATGAACGACTTTTGGCTTTAAAAACAAGGTTTTCATTTTTTAAAGACCATATTTCTGCTGATCTTTAGTTGCACTTTTATTTTTTTGTCAATTAAGCAAATAAGCATTACATTAAACTGGTTTCGAGTTTAATAAATCTTTCTTTAGTTGAGGATAAGCTTGCAGAAAAAGCGTTTGTGGATGTTTTGCATTTATTATAATGTTTTAAAAAATAATGTAAGTCATGTGGTGTTTTTAAAATGATCTTAAGTGCAGTTAAAGAATTAGCAAATAATTAGCTGTAATTAGAGCCATAGAAATAGACAAAAAAAAACAAATTGTAAAATTAAATTTATTGTAACGTTTCGTCTTTACTCAAGGCATCTTCAGGCAAATAATAAATTGGATGTTAAGACAAGATATTATATTTGCAAAAAGGTGTTAAGTTACTACTAAAGGAGGCTGTGTCAAATGGATATATGATAAGGAAGTTAGGAAGTAAAATAAAGAGAAATTAAAAGAGGTTAAGTGGAATGGAGTTTCCTTACACATTAAGTGAAGGCTTGTATTTATTGATTAGAAGGCGTTCATGAATGGAGAGTTCATAAGTATCGTTGGAAGAGGAGATTTTTTTAAAGTCCTCTAAGTTGGGGTGTGTCCAGTTGCGTTAATGTGAGCAAGAATGTTTGATAACTCAGGGTGGGAAACTTGGTTGCCTGTAAGGGGGGATATTCCCAAGTGCTCCGAAAATCTGGTGTGTAGATGACGTGTGGTTTGACCCACATACGAGGCGTTGCATCTTCGACTCTTAAATAAATAGATTATACCAGAACTCAAAGGTTTGGGAATTTTGTCCTTAAAGGGGAAAAAAGAAGAGATACGGTGGGAAGGGCGGAAAACAAATTTAATAGATATATGTGGGGAGGCTGCAGCAGAAAGGTTATTGATTTGTGTGGGAATTTGAAGGGAGTGTATGTCGGTGAAAGGAAGACAGGCATAGATGTGCATTTTGTGAGCAGTCAAAACAGGTGGTCTGGGGGCAAAGGTGTTGTTAAGGAAGCGACGTGTTATTTGGTCAATTATACGTGAAGGAAAACCGTTTTTGGTGAGTGAATTTCTGGTAAATTCGAGTTTTGTATGAAAATTTTCGTAAGTAGAACAAAGATTGAAGATGCGGTGAAGTAAGCAGGAGACTAGTGAAAGTTTGTAAGTAAGTGGGATGAAGCTGTGGAAGTTGGTGTAGAGGCCAGTGAAAGTAGGTTTGCGGTAGACGGAAGTGGTGAATTTTCCATTAGTACGAGAGATATCAATGTCAAGAAATGAGGGCTTTCTGTTTGTTCGACTTCAGCTGTGAATGTGATGTTAGGGTGTTGTCGGTTCAGATAGTCATAAAAAAAAAGGGACGTGATCGAAAATTAAAGAAAACTAACGCAACGTCAACATATCCAAGATCGCAAACTTTTCCGTCTCACATCCAAACATGACAACAACATCCTAATCGAGCATGATAAAGTAGTGCTCAACTTCTCAAACCGCCTCATTACTGACAGAGAAAGAAATCCTTTCAAAAGGCTTAAACTTTTCCATCCCACCGAAAAAGTTAAATATTTGCACCTTTTTAACACCCTATGAAAAACTCTACAACCGTTTCAAACGAGAACCTGTTAATGAATCATCGGGATTTTTTCCAGACTGGATCAAATGCAAATTAAAAGACATTGCCCACTCAGGTTTCCGAAGTTACAGCCCACCAACTTTTCTATATTCACAAGAAGACTTGGACAATTTAAATAATTTAAAGAACGACAGAGCTATCCTCATCACTAAACCTGACAAAGGAAATGGCATCGTAATACTTAACAAAGACGACTACATAAAGAAGATGGACACACTCTTATCTGACACTACAAAGTTTCAACCTCTTAATGGAGATCCAGTTAAAGTCACTTTACAACGAGAAAAGCAAGTGAAGTGTTTATTAAATCAGTTGAAAGATGCTAAATCTATCGGCCAAGAAACTTACAAAGAACTTTACCCTACTGGTTCACGAATAGGTATATTGTATGGCCTTCCTAAAATACATAAATGTAACATCCCTCTCAGACCCATTCTTTCCTCCATTAATCATTATTCGTATAAACTAGCAAAGTTTTTCATCCCACTCCTAAAACCCTTCACTATAAGCCACTTCATCATCAAAACTCTTTCTCGTTGGTTGAAGAAATCCTAAATTGCGATATCAACTCCAGTAATGTTTTCCTTCCTGGTTTTGATGAACTTAGAACTGCCATCACAGCATAAATAAGAGCCATTCCGAAAGAGGAGTGTATAAAAGTGATTCAAAACTTTGCCAGACGAGTACAGGTTTGCTTGCAACGAAATGGTGGACATTTGGAATGCATCTTGGGAAAGCCATAAATTGACTAAAAATTGACAGAAATAGCCGAAACTGTTGTGAATAGTCTTCCATAAACTGAATGATGTATGGTTGTATTTTGAAATAAATAGCTTTTTAATTAAAGCCATAATTGATTTTTTCATAGTTACGAATCTTTTTGGCTCAACTTGAATATCTATTAAATTTTTTTTCCGCCCTTCCCAACGTATCTCTTCTTTTTTCCCCTTTAAGGTCAAAATTCCCAAACCTCTGAGGTCTGGTGTCGTCTATTTAATCAAGTGTCGAAGCTGCAACGCATCGTATGTGGGTCAAACCACACGTCATCTACACACCAGATTTTAGGAGCACTTGGGAATATCCCCCCTTACAGGCAACCAAGTTTCCCATCCTGAGTTATCAAGCATTCTTGCTCACATTAACGCAACTAGACACACCCCCAACTTAGACGACTTTAAAATAATCTCATCTTCCAACGATACTTATGAACTCTCCATTCATGAAAGCCTTCTAATTAATAAATAGAAGCCTTCACTTAATGTGTAAGGAAACTCCATTCCACTTAACCTCTTTTAATTTCTCTTTATTTTACTTCCTAACTTCCTTATCATATATCCATTTGACACAGCCTACTTTAGTAGTAATTTAACACCTTTTTGTAAATATACTATCTTCTCTTAACATCCTATTTATTATTTGTCTGAAGATGTCTTGAATAAAGACGAAACGTTACAATAAATTTAATTTTACAATTTGTTTTTTTTTTGTCTACTTCTATGGCTTTAATCAGAACTTTATGTTGAGCATTAATTTTTATTACATGAATTCGATTTCCGCTCGGCAAGTCTCTCGCTACTATTTTAAATTAGCTGTAAGACCTGGTTTCAAATTTTTTTTAGTTGCTTTACACATACTTAAATGTAACAAAAATTCATTGACCGTGTCGATATTTACAGAAATCATTATAAGACTTTGTAGTTAATTAACCCTTTAAGTAAAAACTTCAGAATTAAAGGTGCAAATTTTCTCTTGCAAATAATGTTTGTTTTATGTACATTTAATGTTAGTAATGAGAAAAATTAGTCCTAATTTGTTTAGATGAGGGGGGGATAAGATTTGTTGTAGGTTTTCATCATAGCCGCTTAGGGGTATAGATTTTATAAGAAATAATATTATAATAACTTTATTTATATGCTTTTTTTAATTTTCACTTTAATAACAAGTTTTATACTTATTTTTTTTAGAATATGACTGTATAAACATAATTTTTCATGTTTAAAAATAGTTACATTAAAATAATATGGAGAATCATGTCTATTTACAAAGGTATTAAAAAAAACTTTTTTTCCTTCTGACGTAATACAAATAAGTTTGCCAGTAAACTGACGACAAATTTGTAAAATTAACATTACCAAGTTGTACCTAAATGCATTGCAGTAAAACCTTTCAATTTACCCAAGTGGTTAATTTTGTGACCGAGCAACTATGTGGGCTTTATTCTTGTTCGTTCGTTTGTTTTATATATAATAGCGAACAAAGAAAGAGCAAAGGTTGTATGCATGAAATAATGAATATATGAATGAAGCTAATACATTTAATGGTAAAATCAAAGACTTATACCAATGCCACTACTTTTTATCAGATGTGTGTAAAAAAATATTAAAATTATGCCATAGTGACAGCCTTAGTTCATTTCAATAAACTTCTTGGTAGTGTTGGTATCCACTTTAGACTGGGCAACCTTGCGGCAGTGTACACTGATTTACAGTGAATTCAGCATAAATCGGGTGATAGGGTGCCAGGAAATACTTTAACTAATTCATCCACACCAGACAAAATCCTCATACAAAATTGCGCAATTTTCTTCAATAAAATAACTTTGGACAATGATTTTTGTGTACTATCAATAAAATAAAAAAATTGAACTTACAGCAGATGATGTGGAGGAGCTACACCAACTTAAAAGTGATTGGACAGTTAAAGCACTTAGTTCTACAATGATAACATGATGTTTATCATCTGACAGAGTCCCTAAATAATCCTAACAAATTCATGGGGTAGAAAATAATTCACAAGTAAAAATTATTCTTAAAATTGTTTGAAGAGCAAAATTTATCAACACATCCAAAGTTTTGGTTACCACTTACCAAGAAAATATGATATTTAACTTTCTAGAAGTACTAACAGGAAGTACTTTCATGAATAAGGGACTTGTATAGGCTATTTCTGACAAAGGTGTCTCAAATGACTACATTTTTAAGTATAAATCATGAAAGTAACTAAATAAAGTGAATTTAGTGTAAGTTAGCAAAGTGATAATCTAACATACGCAAACTAACCTCACAAATAAATCCTTACTTTTTTCGCCAGGAAATCATAAATAAGTCGCAATAAAGAAGATTATTATATAATTTAAAGTGCTTGAGCACTATGCGGGCACTGTTCACACATACATATATGCGTCCGTATCTGAAATATTGGGATACTTGTAATAAGAAGATCTAAGAGAATAATCAATCAAATGTAAAAAACGATCATTTTCTCTCTCTAACTCTTTATCATTTTCACCAAAAGACTTAACGCGTTAACCTTGCCAGTACGTGGTTCTGTTGGGAATAGGATGTGGTTTCTTTGAAACCGGCGTAATGACTTTATCTAAAGCTTGTGTTGCTTCCTCTGAGTAACTGAACATCGTATTAATTCCATTTGATACATACAATATTAAGCACTATAAGCTTAATTGAGTGATTTTCATCATATATAGCAAGTAACTACGTTAGAAATTGACCTTACGTTTGCACAAAGCAATAATCAATATGCCATTTTGATTCTGCAAAAATAGCAATTTTAAAAATTCACAAGATAATGCTCTTCCACGTTATTCTAATTTTGCTTAATCACTTGCACCAAAAAGCGTTCACAAGTTTATTCAGCTTCGACATCTCGAAGGAAATACCTTTTTGAAGATTAAAAAAACTGAAACTATGACTTAGTTGATACAGAATATAGCACGACTGATAAGTAGAATATGTAATGGAAAGTGCTAGTTCCCTTCTTTACACCTTTAATGAGCCGCAGTTTTTGAGTAATGCACCATTTAAATATCAATAATTTGATGTATTTTGCAATTGATTAACGCAATTTTGATAACGTAATTTCAGGGGTACTTGATGTTGAATACGACATAAGATTCAGGTTCTGCAGTTTTAAAAACATTTTTCTTGAATTTTCGCTAAAATCCGCTGTTCAGGCAAGCTTCAACCAGAAAGCTATCGATGGCTTTTCCAGTGTTTCGAACAAAAAAATTTAAAGTTTTCAAACCGGAATAAAATGAAAATATGCCCTTAAACTCGTTTGAAATATTGTAGGCTATTTCTCCTTTAAGAAGAATATTTTTTTAAATAATCTGGAACGTGTTGTCCCCATTTTACAGCAACGCGTTACTGAGTAAAGCGGACATTTGTGTTAAATGTGAGCACCATATTTTCTGAAATTATTCGATCCATTAATTTTTTTGTATTTATTTATGCCGAAAAAGATGCAAAACATGGCAAACAACAAACTATGGAAAGTTACACCAAAATATAATTGTTCTAATTCCAGATTATATGCTTCGTGAAACCTTCCAAATAGACAACTATTGTATATTCAGGCGTTATGGGACAACAGTGTGTCCACGGCTATGTGTTTGCATGTAAACTAAAATGTTGATGAGAAAGCAAAAATGAAAGGGAACCGTCTTTGTGAGTGAGACGTAAAGCAAAATCAAAGAGAAAAGATTGAAGAACGCATGAAGACAACATTTAGCAAGGTAAAAATAAGCAGACAATGGCTTGCAAACAGACAAACATCTAAACGAGCAAATGAAGAAAAGGCAAATTAATAATAGAATAACTAGTAGAGATACAATATACACAATACACAAAGACGTCGTCATGTAAATTAAATAAAGAAAAACAATCAAAGTAAATTATTAAAGGGAAGAGATGTATTGTTTAACTTAATCTGGGGATACTAATGATATGCATGCATCCAAGTTGCTCAAGGGAAGAAAAATGTAAGGAAGGTAAATGATATACATTGAGGA